TCAGTACTGATGGTAGTATACAGCAATGGACCAACGAATGGGTTAGTCACAACTGCCATTAGATAATTAAAGTATTGTTATGGTGTAGAAACAACCTCCTCCTGATATATTTCCTACTGCTTGGCGTGTTTTCCTTACAAAACGAGACAAAGCATTAGTCAATAAAGTGAAGAGGTTTGTTAGCACAATCGTCAATTATTTTTTACTATGCATATCTACTATTTTATGCACACAGTGGCTTAGCCAAAGTGATTACCAGCATTACTGGATTTGGGGTAAATATAACTAATATAACTATAGTTTTAGTAATTGTGTTATTATGATAGAGTGTTTATGAAGAGGGAACTGATATTGATTATATTCCAGATGACAACCAGTAATGCTATGACTATTTTTGTGTTTATTTTTGTTTAAAAGTTTTTTAACACACACTATGGCTACTTAATTTTTGTCATACGTTTTATATTCTCATTGTTTTTATGGTCCCATTTTAATATACGTAAAAGTTATTATTTAATTAATGTTGACCGATGTCCATCCATTACTAAATGAGTGTCTAAGCTGCATGAGTTATCATCATACTGCTCTATTCTTTTTAGTAAAATACCTTTATTACACCATCTGTTTGACGATAACAATTATTAAAAATTCTTTATAAATATCCATTACCTCTTGAGAGTAGCAAAGTCTAAAATGTTAGCTGAGCTGTGACAAGCTTTTTCCAGCAATAAAGTACCTGGAGTATTCATTAATATGATCATCAGTCAATGCTTTGTCTATCTCACTAACCAGTGTATATTTGTCCTAGAGATATAGCAAAATCCCTTGCAGCTGTCACTATAACATTTCCACCCTCTTCAGAAAACTGTTTCACTGATTGGGTCCAGTTTTTAATGAGTTCAGCCTCAGCTTCTAATCCCAAAAACTGAAGCTTCTCCTGATTACAAGTTACACAATTCACTTTAGACACAAGAGCCTCCAATACCTACAAATTAAGTAATTTATACATACACTCAATACAAATCAAGAACACTGCAGTAGAGAGGAAGAGAGATACTGACTTCTCCATTAGATTTCTGTAAAGCTCGTAGGACATCAAGACTCATAATGTTAGTGGTTCCCTCCCAAATTGGTAATACCTACACATTATAAATGATTGAACATGTAATCACACTGCTACTTTAAACCATGGGAGTGCTGATCCCATAGGATTATTAAGACCATTATCTCTGATTATATCATGTTATAAATAGATATTACCTGAGCATCTCTGAATAATGTAGGCAGTCCAGTGTCTTCAATATATCCTTGACCACCAAAGCTCTCCAATCCTTCAGACATGACACTCATTGCCTGAAGTAAAGGAATGAGAAAGTGAGTTAGAAAGCATGAAAGATAGGAAGATGGTCAGTATACAAAGGACTCATTTATTTAATATCTTAATTAGAATTGTGTAACAGACGCTCTAACTATCTGTTAACCAAACCTTATTCTTAATCAACACGAGACTCAACTGAGCTCAAAAACAAAAACAGAACTAACTCACAACTCAAAACTAAAACTCACAAACAACACACTTATATAGATCTTATAAATGTCCAGAAGGTTCTATAACATACAAGAATACTTTACATGATTGTTCTAGAATATACTTGAATAAACACATAATATATAGTTACAATAGTACACAGAGAGTTCCGGATCCATTTAGAAACAACTTCTTACATTTCCTCCCTTCCCCTCTGGCACGAAGTGCTCTTCCTCTCCAATCTAGAAAGTGCATCTGCATTTGCATTTGCTACCCCTTTCCGATGTTGTATAGTGAAATTATATGGTTGCAGAATCAAACTCCATCTAGTCAATCTTGCATTCTTCTCTTTAAACTTGTGTAGCCATTGAAGAGCTCTATGATCGGTTTGAATAATAAATGATCTCCCTATGAGATATGCACTGAAGTGCTTGATGGCTAGAATAATAGCTAAGCACTCTTTTTCGACTGTCGAGTATGCTTGTTCTCTCGGGAGTAGTTTTTTACTAAAATAAGCAACTGGTCCCTCATCTAAATTCTCCTCTCCTTGACTAAGAATTGCACCAACTCCTACTCCTGATGCATCAGTTTGCAATATAAATGTTTGATTGAAGTTCGGATTTTTCATTAATGGTGCTGTAGTTAATGCTGTTTTTAGCTTCTGAAATGCCAATTCTGCCTTCTCACTCCATATGACCCGTTCAGGCAGCTTTTTCCTTGTCAATTCAGTCAAGGGTTCTGCTATCGAAGCATAATCCTGCACAAACCTACGGTAGTATCCAGTGATTCCAAGAAATGTCCTTAGATCCTTCTTTGTCTGTGGTCTTACCATATTTATAATAGCTTCAATTTTTCTTCGTTCTGGTCTGACCCCTCCTTTGCCAATCTGATATCCAAGATACGTACACTCCCTTGCTCCAAATGTACACTTCTTTAGCTTGATTGTCAATCCCGCATCATCCAGTCTCTTTAAAACATCTGTTAACTGATTAAGATGATCTCTCCATATACTGCTATGAATTACTATGTCGTCTAAGTACACTCCTGCAAAAGTCTCCGTCCCTCTCAAGATTTCATCCATCATGCGTTGAAAGGTTGCAGGTGCACCACTAAGACCAAACGGCATAGTCTTGAATTGATAAAGTCCTCGAGGACTAGTAAATGCTGTTTTCTCCCTGTCCTTCTCGTTCACGGGTACCTGCCAGTATCCCTTTGCAAGGTCCAACGTCGTTATAAATTCTGCATCCCCTATTGTATCTAGTAACTCCTCAACTCTAGGCATAGGGTA